AGTCAAATTTATAAGAATACAAGTCATTCCCCAATTGATATATTATCAAATGATATGGAGAGGCAATTTTCAGAGGAAGAAATTAAAGCTATCTATAGTCATATAAAAGAAACTCTAAATCACTATTGATTAGAGAAATGCAAATCAAAACAGCTCTGAGGTACCACATCACACCTATCAGATAGGCTAACATGACAAAACAGGAAAATGATAAATGTTGGAGAAGATGTGGGAAAATAGGAACACTAACGCATCATTGGTGGAGTTGTGAACTGATTCAACCATTCTGGAGAGCAATTTGGAACTATGCACAAAGGGCTATAAAAATGTGCATACCCTTTGATCCAGCAATGTCACTACTAGGTCTATATTCCAAAGAGATCACAAAAATGGGGAAACGACCCATATGTACAAAAATATTTCTAGCAGCTCTTTTTGTGGTGGCCAAGAACTGGATATTGAGGGGATGCCCATTCATTGGGGAATGACTGAACAAGTTGTGGTATTATGAATGTGATGGAATACTATTGTGCTATAAGAAATGATGAACAGGCTGACTTCAGAAAAACCTGGAAAGACTTGTATGGTCTGATGCTGAGTGAAACGAGCAGAACCAGGAGAACATTGTGCACAGTAACAGCCACATTGTGTGATGACCAACTTTAATAGACTCTTCCCAGCAATGCAAGGCTCTAAGACATCTCCAAAAGTCTCATGATGGAAAATGCTATCCATATCCAGAGAGAGAACTATGGAGTCTGAATGCAGATGGAAGCATACTATTTACTCTCTCTTTTTTTGTTTGTTCCTTCTTTCTTGTGGTTTCTCTCATTGGTTCTAATTCCTCTTTACAACATGACTAATATAAAATTTAAAAAAAAAAAGAAAGTGAACCGGCAGGTCAAAAGGTTGCCTATTGTCCAGGTACATTTCTCTTCTAGGGGGAATCGAACCATAGGGTCCCACCAAAGGGCTGAATGCCCAGATAGGGCTTGAAGAGGTACTCTACAGCCTGAACCCCAAATTTGTTTTCCTTCTAAGAGGAATCCAACCCATAGTGTGGTGCTATGATACTGCAAGCCTTCAGGACCCTAGGGGAAGGTGGGATTCCCTGTAGAAAGAGGATAGTTGTGTTGATTGTGATTTATGTGGGCTTTGTATTTTCCACAAGATGGAATAAAGACAGTAGTCCAGTGGTACCTCTATATCAATTTTTAGCATGAATGATTACATGAGAGCTGGATACCCTTTTACCCACATCTGTGACACTCATACCCATATTTGAGCTAGATTATGCGATTTCCCAGAGTAAACTCTGGGTGGGGGCATGCAAACCCCAGCCTTTGTTGATTTTGGGGTAGTCACTGAGATTAAACCTGGCTCATGTAAACCAGGGGTTCTTAACCTGAAGTCCATGAACTTGTTTTTCAAAAGGGCTTTTGATAACTGTATTTCAAGTAAAATTGATGACCTTGGGGAACCTATGTGTGGTGTTCCATGTGTTTAAAACCTAATTCTGAGAAGGGGTCCATAGACTTCCCCAGACTGCCAAAGGAAAGAAAAAGAGTAAGAACACAAAAAAAATGAACTTAACACAATAATTCCTGGTGACAGCCTCCCAGAGTGGTGAACAGGACCACCCAAATTACAAAGATGTTGAAAAGAAAGTCCCTCATTAACTGTCAAGTGATGTAGAAATGTGAGCAGCTAATTACAAGAAAAACACATCTTTATCTTGTACTTAAGAGCCTGTGAAGTACTTGTCTCATAATCCTTCTGTGGGGGAAGCAGGACAAGGATGTTTCAGCAATTTTATCAATGAGGATGTCAAGGCTCAGAGAGTGATTATAGATTTGCCCAAGATCCCATGACCAGTGTGTATCAGAGAAGGGATTTGAACCCAGAACTTCCTGGTTCTGAGGCCAGCTTTCTTTGCACCATGTCACCCTGCCTTGAGGGAGGAGAGACAGAAGCTTATTAGCCCCATTCTACAGATGAGCCCCGTGCTGCTTGGATTGAGCGGCCAGGATGTGATCATAGAGCTAGAAGGTGGCCAAGATGGCATTCAAACCCGGGTCTTTCTCTATTCCAAGTCTAGTGTTCTTTCTAAAGGAAAAGACGGGTCTTCAGAGCACAGGGCCAGCCAGGTTCCAAAGGCTGGGTTGGTAGGCACCACGAAGAGGGAGAAGACTTTGGGGGCAATGACCGTGATGAGGTTGTTTCTGACTTGGCTCTCATGGCCAACCCCCTCATTTTACAAATGAGGAAACTGAGTCCCAGGGTGGGGGAAAGACTTGCCCAAGGCCCCACATACATCTAGAGACTGAAGGAACTTCAGAGGCCATCTAATACAATACTTTATTTATGGGACAACTAGGTGGTACAATGCTTAGAGCCCTGGGTTTGGAGTCAGGAAGAAGTAAGTTCAAATCCAGCCTCAGCCACTTAGTTTCTGTGCAACACTTAACTTAACCTCTATATGCCTCAGTTTCCATAATTGCAAAATGGGGATCATAATAGCACCTACCTCCTAGAGTTGTAGTGAGGATCAAATGAAATAATTGTTAAGCACTTAGGGTAGTGCCTGGCACACAGTAGGTGGTATCTAAATGTTAGCTATTATTATTATTATTTTATAGATGAGAAACAGACTCAGAGGGGAAGTGACTTGCCCAGGGTCACACAGTCATAAACATCATAAGCAGCATTTGAACCCATGTCTTGTGATTTCAGTCAGTGGTTTTTCTCCTGTCTGAGATCTCATAGCTAGTAAACAGTAAGACTTTAATATCCTCCCTTCAGGGGCTTATTACCTATGTGACCATGGGGAAAGCACTGAACCTCTCTGGGCCTCAGTTTCCTCCTCTGTAAATTGGATGTAATCATGCCTGAAGTGTCTACCACAGGACTGTTGGAAAATTCAAATGGGTTGTTAAGACATTTTGTGAATTTTAAATGCTATAGAAATGCTAATTATTATTGTTATGGTTGCTTTCATTTCTTTTCATTTTTTTTATTTTTTCATTTTTCACTTTTTTTTGCTTCACCATTTCAACCGCTTTTTGAAATGGCTAAGAATGAATCTTCATCTTTATGCAATGGAGCTTAGATAGAAACAGCTGAGTTGCAGCCCTACTCTTCGTGAATGGTCACTGTTTGGCAAAGTCTTGTGCCAGTGGGAAAAAAGAACTGTTTTTTAAGGATTTAAAAACAGTATTGAGATGCAGGAACGTTTTTGGCAGACTGGGACAGTCAATCCATCAAGAAGCATTAAGCAAGGGACAGCTAGGTGGCACAGTGGATAGAGCTCTGGTTTTGGAGTCAGGAGGACATGAGTTCAAATCCAGTCTCAGACACATGACACTTCCTAGCTGTGTGACCCTGGGCAAGTCACTTAACCTCGATTACCTCACCAAAAAGCAAAAAGAAAAAGAAAAAAGAAAAAAAAGAAGCATTAAGGACCTACTGTGTGTCAGGCACTTTGATAAACCCTATCAACCTCTATAGTAGAAGGATTGTGGGGGTGAGAGTTCTCTGATTTGGATTTCTAGCAGGAAGTCTCTGTGTCTTGAGATCTTTTCATTATAAGCTAATCATCATCATTATTGTTGAAAACAATTCTCTCAACATGATGAGAGAGAGCGGCCTCGGAATCAGAGAGAAGAGGGTTGAAGCTTTGCCTCTGACCCGTACTGGCTGTATGACCCTGGCTAAGTCTTTTCGCTCCTCGGTGTCCCAGAGAAGGTAGAGAGCCTTATTCGCCACCACTCCTCCTCGGGGAATTCTCCATAGCAGTGAAAGCCCAGGCCCAGACCCTACCCCTATTATTCTTTTCCTATATTTTTGTTGTTATTTAGTCAAAGGAGGGGGAAGTTACATTTGAAATTGTTTGTCCTTCATTTTCCCCTCACTATTTTATTTTTTCCAATTGCATGTAAAGATAGTTTTCAACATTCACTATTTATAAGATTTTGAGTTCCAAATTTTTTTCTCCCTTCTCCCTTCCCCAAGATGGCAAGCGATCTGATATAAGCTATACATGTACAATCATATTAAACATATTTCTACATTAGTCATGTTGTGAAAAGGGAAAAACGTGAGAAAGAGAAAACAAAAAGAGAGAGAGAGAGAAAATAGTATGCTTTGATCTACATTCAGCCCACAGTTCTTTTTCTGGATGTGGATAGCACTTTCCATCATGAGTCTTTTGGAATTGTCTTAGGTCATTGTATTGCTGAGAATACCTAAGTCTATCAAAGTTGGTCATTGCACCATGTTGCTGTTAGTGTATCCTCATTCTTGAAGAGGACAAATGACATCAGGAGGGGATGTCTTGACTTGCAAGTGAATTGGATTATAGTGAGGGAAGGCTGTGCAAAGTCACCAACCTCCTTTTCTCCTCTGGAGCCATCTGGATCCAGTGACAAGACATAGGTCAGGATGTCTGGAGATGGCCCCAGATGCAGTGGGAGACCTTGGTCTTTTTAAGCGAATTCTTCAAAGAGCTGCCAGGGTTTAGGAGAAGCAAGAGAGATTCTGAAATTCAGAGATTCATATTCTCCCTGTGGTTACTGGGTAGCATGGAGATGGGGTAGGCTCATGGGAGTTAGTGGCATCTGCTGAGAAGTAAGGTAACCCTGGTCTAGCAGGGGACATGATCATAGGGCTAGAAAGTGGTCACCCCTGTTCTTTCTCCATTTGACCATCTAGACTAACCTCTTCCCCCTGCTACCCCGACTCTCCCCCCTCAGATCCTGCAGGGTCTTTCCTAACTAGGGTCACCTGCCACTTGCTAGGCCCTGTGCAGGGCCCCGGAGCAAGCATTGACCCATTGACCTACGAGTTCAAAGACTACTGAGCTTTGTTTCAGAGAAAGTCAATACTCCAGGAGGGGGAGGAGGGAGGGGATAGCCTCAAACCCCGTGCTGCCTCCCCCAACCCCAGGGCTAATGAGCTCCCCCCCACACCCTTATGACTCAAACTAAAATAAGGAAGGAAGATAGTCAGTGGGACTGGGAACTGAGTGAGAGATAATAAGGAAGGAAGGGTAGCTGGCAAGGTACCAGACACTGGCTTTGGACTCATCGGCAACAGGAGGGAGAAGGCAGCAGTGGACAATGACCTCCATGGCGCTATTCCTGGGGATGGCCCTCCTGGCCCACCTCTCAAGCCATCTGAACGGTAAGAGCTGGGCCAGGGGCACCCTTGGGCTCGCTAGCGCTGGGGTGGCCAGCTGGGGTCCTGAGGGTGGGGGAGCTGTGTTCCCATTGGGTCAGGGGAATCCTCCGGAAAGGGAACCAAGCACCAAGCAGCCATCAGCAAGTCCTGAAAGAAGAGCCAAGCATCCTGGGGGTATGGTCTAGGGCAAACAGCGTTATGCCTGGTGCCAGGAGATGGGGTCTCAGGTGTCACGGGACTCCGGGCTCATACCTTTCTGCCCTAACTGCTTCACCTATTTGCTTTTCCATCTAGAAAAAGGAGAGAATAACATTTGTACCTGCTACCTCCTTCATAGGGCTCTCATGGGGCTAGCTGGTAATTTTGATAATGGCGTGTTCTAAGTCATGGCCAAGGCTGCCCATGGAAAGATCCAGAGATTAGGGTCAGAAGACCTAGAATGAAAGCTCAGCTTTACCACTAAGGAGCTGGGTGACTTTGAGCAAGTCCCTTTCCCTCCCTGGGTCTCAGTTTCCTCCTCTGAACATTATTAAAACTATTTTTAGTTTTAATAGCAGACTAGGTGACCATTTAGAGATAGGGACTGGTAGCGCCCTAGACTTGGAGTCAGGAAGACCTGAATTTGAATTCTGCCTTGGTCGCTGTGTGATACTGGCCAAGTTACCTTGGTTCTGTTTCTTCATCTATAAAAAGAGGGGCTTTGAACCCTTCTTGCTCAGCTAGGAACCCTAGGAGTAGAATTTGATTGCTATAGGGGACTCCCAGGGGAGGAAGCTCCTTCTACTAAAAGAAGTCAGCACCTTCTCTGAAACTACGAGTCTTCCAGGTTGTCCAGAGAACAGAGAGGTTGACTAATTTGTCCAGGGTCACTCAGTGTGAGGAGGAGTTAAAGATGGGACTTGAGCCCAGAGTTTCTTGACTCAGAGCCCACTGAGGCTCTCTAAATGTTGGACTTTCAGGGAATTCTGAAGGTCTCCCTGCCTCCCCCTGTTTCTGATGTGGGAAATCAACCCACTGGAGCCTCATCCCTTTAACAAAGGCTGTGATCCCCATTAAAAACAATCCCCTACCAGGGTGAATATCCGAAGCAGTTGTCTGTCACTGACCCGTGAATGCTAATGAATTCTATAGCCTCAGTTAGGGGTCAGGAGACTTGAGGTTATAGTCCAGCTCTGCTTTTTATTACCTATTTAAACTTGGACAAGGTATCTCTGTGCCTCAGTTTCCTCATCTGTAAAATTCTCCAGTAGAAGACCTAATTTGGACTGGTTGGTCCATAAGATCCCTTCCAAATCTGACATTATGCATTCTATATTCTAAGTGCCCCCCCCAGTGCTGACATTCCAGGTTCTAAGGTCCCTCCCAGTGTTGACACACCATCATCTAAAATTGTAAATGGAGCTTTTGATAAGAAGGGAGCAGTAGGGCATTTGGGAGTTGTTGTGGAGACTGTGGGGGTCCACTAGGTGGTGGAAAAAGGTGAACAAAGAGGAGGCTGGGTCAGCTGCAGGCACATTTCTCCCTTCTGCCATGACTGGGTCCTTCTGTTATGCTGGGAAGGGATGGATGGGCCCCCCAGGCTACTCCATTTGGCCCTCCCTCCCTTTTCCCATTCCAGCAACTGTCCAGCAATAGTTAGTCCTGGAGTCAAGGAGCCTGCCATTTTCCCCAGGCTCTCCTCAGAGCAAATTTGTGCGGTAAGGAATGCCAGGATTATTATCTGACCCCTCATTTTACAGAGGAAGAAACTGAGGCTCCTCAGACAGGAGCCACATACACCAACCCTATAGCAGGGCTGGCCTTGAGCCTTGTGGGGCCCATCGTTTGTACTTTGCCCTCTTCTTGTTGGTCTTTGGTTGAAATCTAGGACTCCACATTCAGGGCTGACCCTTGACTTCATCCCCTCTCCTGGCCTTTCAGCCACCCTGCCCTTGTCTGGACCTGTTCTGGGGAAAGGACCTGCTGTGAGCCAATGATTGATCCCCATGGGTCTCCAGAGTGAGGGGGCCTGCAGAAAGGGAGGCTCAAGCCCTCCAGGCCTGATGAGGGTGCTGGCACTTCCCAAATTCACCTCTCTTTAAACTATGCTTTCTCCCTGTATAGTTTTGCTAGAAGGGCCCTAGAGCTGGGAGGGGCCTTAGAACATAGAATATCAGATCTGAAAAGGACTTTGGAACGCAGACTGTCAGGGATGGTAGGGGCTTTAGAGCATAGAATGTCAGAGCTAGCTGGAACTTTAGGATATCAGAGCTGTGAAGGACCTAGATTGTAGAGTGTCAGGGCTGGTAGGGATCTTAGAACAGTGAAGGGCAGAGCCCAGGACCTTAGAGCATAAGATCATAGAGCTAAGGTGAAGGACAGGAGAGAGGCAGCAGGCCTGGTAACTTTCCCTGAAGTGGTTTTATCCTGCTCACATTTCCAGTAAAGTTAGGGGCATTGCTTAATCCTTATGTCAGCTCCCTAACTCAGGGATAGGGAAGGAGCAATTCATTCCTGGTCCCTGGTCACTGCTCCCAGAGAAGGTGACTGTCGATTCCATTTCTGGTTTTTGTATCTCTAGCACCTAGGACAGTGCTGGACATGTAGTAGTTGCTCACTAAATGATTATTGATTGATTGATTGATCCGGGGAAGAGAGTGCCATTGCCAGGGGCTGACACAAGATGGTCAGGCCCTCCTGCCATCTTTCTCTTGATCAATCGCCAAATCTTCACTGAGCACCCATGAGAAGAGTGGTACAGAGGGCAGAGCCTGGGCTCGGGAACCAGAGTAACTAGGTTCAAATCCTTTCCCTGTGTGAGGACCTTGGGCAAATCCTTCCCCCCCCCCCGCCCGGGCCTCAATTTCCCCCTCTGTAAAGTGTTCTGAGGTTCACTCCAGTTCTACATCTAGGATCCGATGTGCACCATTAGATGACTCCCCTTCCCTCCCTGAGCCTCAGTTTCCTCCTTTGTAAAATGAGAGGTCAGACTAGGTGGCATTGCAGGTTCCTTCCAGCTCTACCTGACCCTATGAAATTGGAGGGAGTGAGTCCTTACTGCTTTGGACATTATGGCCTTCACACTTTAGTGACATCCAGGAGAGAAGGATGTTGGCTATCAAAGAAACTGTGGATGGTGAGGAGGATGGTTGGAATGGGGGCAGGGGTGGGGAAGGCCTCCTTGGTGGTGAGGATGATGGTGAAGAGAACTCTAGGGACCAGTGTCTCCATTAAAGTTCACTCCAGTTGAACTAGTCTAAGCTCCCCTCTGTGTGGCTGAAATTTACCCCTCTTTTGACCACTCTCAAAAAGTTTAGCACTCTGCAGGCCTTGGAGGGTGAATTCTCAGTTCTCTCTAGCCATTACAGAGAGAATGAGTTTTGAGATGGGGAGAGGAAAGAGAACAGGAAGCCTGAAGGGTGGATAGAGTTGTCTAAAGTTCCTGCCTGGGGTTCCCCAGGTCCTGGGAGAATAATGGGCAAACTGGAAAAGCATAGTGGGAAAAGACTGGGCATACTCTCAGCCCTGATTGTCATTAGCTGTGTGACCTGGGGTAGGGCCACACTCTCTCTGATCTCAGTTTCCCCGTTTATACAATGTGGACAATAAAATGCTACCTACCTCCCAAGATTGGTGCTGCCAGGGAACAGGGTACTTTGGCAACTATAATGCATTGAAGAAATGTTAGGGAGTATTGTTACAATCATTGCTATACCTCATCTCCCAGCTGACCCCACGTTGGAAGGACCTGTCAAAATGATTGGCCCCTGGAAAGGGAATGTCAACGTCGCCTGCACCTACGGGCCCATAGAAGGTTACACCCAAGTCCTGGTGAAGTGGCTGGTCCAGCAGGACAATGAGGCCGTCACCATCTTTTTGCGGGATTTCTCTGGGGACCACATACAACAGGCCAAGTACCGAGGCCGCCTGCAGGTGACCAGAGAGCCCCCTGGTGATGTGTCCCTGCTCCTGGAAACCTTGGAGATGGATGACAGGGGTCGCTACCGATGCCAGGTAACCTGGAAGGACCCTGATGGTAGACAACTGGTGAAAGAGCGCATGACAGAACTTCAAATCCAGAAACGTGAGTTTGGGATGAGGGGAGAAAGTCTGTGCTGGAATGGGATCCTGGCAAGTCTAGAGAAAAAGGCCTAAAGCCTCTTCCTGGGCTGACATTCTCTGTTCTCTGTTCTAAGGCCCTTCTCAGCCCTGACATTCTCTGTTCTAAGATCCCTCCCAGCTCTTACACTCTGTGTTCTAAGGTCCTCTGACATCTCTGACATTCTCTCTTCTAAGGTCCTTCCCAACCCTAACCTCCTCCTTTCTTGGGTCCTTTGTATCTCTGCCTTTGTGGATGCTAATCTTTCTGTATTTGCTCTTTGCCCTTTCTCTCTTCCTCTACCCCTTCTAGGCATCTCTCTCTTAATTCTGTGAGCCAACTTCATCTCCTTTTCTTAGGTTTTTTGCTCATTCCAGCCCCCAGGCCTGTGCCTCCAAGCTATACTCCACTAATTCAATCACCTTCCAGTCCTGTCTCCACCCCACCCCAGGCTTGCTCTCAGTCCTTGTATCCTTCCTCATTCCAGACCTTTCTGTGTCTTCTTCCTCTAGTTCCTGCCTCCAAGCCCCTGGTGACCACAGGCTCTGGCTATGGTTTCAAGGTGCCCCACGGCATGAGAATCAGTCTTTTGTGCCAGGCCCAAGGCTCTCCACCTATCACCTACAAGTGGTACAAGGGGAAGCCGGACGGGACTCCGACCCAGGTGACTTCTCTCGGCACCCTCCTCTTTAAGCCTGCCCAGGTCTCTGACTCTGGGACGTACTTCTGCATTGCCAAGGCTCGTGTTGGTTCTGAGCAGATGAGTGACCTTGTCCACTTTGTGGTCACAGGTGAGCTGCTACCTTCATTGCCTGGTTTTCCTGCTTGTGGCACAGGGAGGGCCCTGGGGTCCAGTTTCCTGGGCCCTGGGGAAACTTGGGTTCTTTCTTTTATCTACCTTTGCAAGCCGCATGATTTTGGCAAGTCACCTCCCTCAAAGCCTAAGGCCAGACTTACCTATAAGGAAATGGGGCTGCTCATACATTCACAGAAGCCTTAAGCATCAGAAGGGATGCTAATGGTCAATCAATCAACAAGCATTTATTAAGTGCTTACTGTATGCCAGACATAGCGTTGAGAACTGGGGACCCAAAGTAAGGCAAAAAGACCAAAACTTACCTGCCCTCAATCAGGGCAACAAATTCAACAAAATTCAAAAAAATTCAACATGTGAATGGTCACATCCAGGCCAGGGGCAAAAGCTACTTTGGGAGGTGGGGGCAGAGGTCAGAGGGATGGAGATACAAGTGTGGCTGGTTTAGCTAATCGAAGACAGTGTGCATCGTGGGAAGGGCACTAGATTTCAAATTGGAACTGACCTTTGAATCAAGGCATGCCTCTGACACACATCTTTTGTGGGAAGTCACTGTACTTTTCTGGGCCTTAGTTTTCCCCTCCATAAAATGATTATGATGGTACTGACACCACATATCTCTCAAAGGTGCGTTGAAGATTGGATGGAAAGCACTCTCATCACTAAAGAAACTTCACTTGTTATTTACATGCTTGGGGGAAGGTACCTAGAAACTCATGGTCATGCTGAAATTTTGAAAATCTGAATTGAAATTTCTGAAATCCAGAATCTGCTGGAACCGTTTGGGACTGGTTGGAATCTATTAGAACCCCCAAAGATCAGAAACACAGATGAGACTTTAAGAATCATCGAGTGGGGGCAGCTAGGTGGCACAGTGGATAGAGCACCAGCCCTGAAGTCAGGAGGACCTAAGTTCAAATCCGACCTCAGACCAAACTAGCTGTGTGACCCTGGGCAAGTCATTTAACCTCAATTGCCTAAAAAAAGAAAAGAAAAATTAAAAAAAAAGAATCATCTAGTGTCACCAGCCCACTTCACAGATGAGGAAACTAAAGCCCAGAGAAGGGAAGGGACTTGCCCAAGATCACACAGCTGGCAAGTGACAGAGCTGGCATTCAAATCAACGTCTTCTAACTCTGAGGCCAATGATCTTGACCCTGGCACTCGATGACCTCAGAGATCAGGATCAGCTGAATCAGAACCTCGGAGCTGGTCAGGGTTGGAGGAGGGCATTTCAGAGGTTGCAGAGATGTGGGGGGAAGAGCTGGGGACACATTGGGTCTGGGTCAGACAAACCTTACTAGCCTAGGCCAGACCCTTGGCCCATAGCAGTTGTCCATGGAGTGGGGGACGGGGGAAAGAACATGACAATAACTAGTGTACTGTCACCTCCCCTGGCAGACTCTTCCAAGAGGCCTACATCAGCGATGCTGCCTGAGGAATTAACAACCAGCACACCCCGCCCTGAAGGTGAGTCTTATTGGAGGCCGAGGGGAAGTTGCCAGGACCTCTGGTGAACCAGGAGGAGGCAGGCAATGGACAGGGGCACTTGGGGACTGGCTTCAAATGGCCCCTCTTGAGGGACCCTCCAGGAATCCAGAGAGGACATCATAGGTGGTAGTACCAGGGTACGAGGGGAAAGAATCTTGCTTCACTTGCCCACTTCCTGGGCATGTGAACCTGGCCTCAGTACTTGTACCTGCAAACCTGGGCTGCAAAAGTCTTTCTGGGGGCAGCTAGGTGGCACAGTGGATAAAGCTCTGGCGTTGGAGTCAGGAGGACCTGAGTTCAAATCCAGCCTCAGACATTTGACTCTAGCTGTGTGACCCTGGGCAAGTCACTTAACCCCAATTGCCCTCACTAAAAAAAAATCTTTCTGAACTACAAAACTTCAAAGGCCTTGGTGACTAAATTGCTCTGTGAGCTGTAAAAGGGCTGGAGAGATGTGAGCTCTTGTTAGGATGTGTATCTCTCCTGTTCTTAGTCCATAGTGGTAATGACACTTCCATGAGATGCAGTCCCTTCCCTTGATAAGTCTGTCAACTAAAAAGGAAGTCAAGGCTGGAACTTTGGGCCATCTGAGAAAGGCCTACATGGGGAGGCGAGGGGCAGGGATGAGGAGGCAAAGGGCAGCTCCTTCAAAGAGCTGAGGAGATGAAGCCCATTTCATTCATTCAGTCAAGCATTCATTTAAGATGATCATGGGATTCTAGGATCAAAGGAGGAAACTGAGGCTTGTGGAGAAGTGACTTGCCCAAGGTCATACAGCTAGTAAGTGACAGAGCCAGAATGCAAACCCAGGCCTCCTCTGTAAAATGAGGGGATTGCATAGACGGATTCTTCCAGCTCAAGATCTGCTTATCCTGACATCACTTCTGACTGCCTGGTGAGAGAAGGTTTCCTGGAAAACCATTTGACTTGGGCCTTAGAGGATGGGTAAGATTTTGACCGACAGAGATAGGGGATGGATGAGTTGAGAGCATCCCAGGTAGAGAGACTTGTGTGAGCAAAGGCACGGAGGTGGGAATGTGCAGTGTGTTTTGAAGAGATTCGAAGAAATCTGGGTTTGGTTGGAATACAGAGCACATGAAGAGGAAAGTCACTTAAAATAAACGATGAATTAGGGCAGTGACAGAGTTTTGTCATCAGAGGTTCTCTATGCCGATGAAATCCCAAGTCTGGTCCTTATCCCTCGGTAATATTGTTGGGAATATTTTCTTAGACTAGATTCGGGCTGAGGGCACTGAATAAGGAAGGAAAGTGGTGGTTTGGGGCTTGGAGTGCCATCTGGTGCCTGCCCACCTACATAGCACCCTGACTCTGGGGGCCTGGAAACACCACCTGATCCCAGTAGTACGACCATGGTCCAGAGACCAAGGGACATGAACTTTCTGACCCCTGGCGTCTTCATGTGCAAAGCGAGAATCAGAGAATGTGTGGTGCCTGCTTGGTGCTAAGATGATGAAACGCAAGAGGCCCCAGCCTCCCTCTCACATCCTTCCCCCTCAGGATCTTCTGTATACTTCTCCCAAATCCTTCAAGCTGATTTTTGCTTATGGCCATAGGAGCCATAGGGAACATCAAAAAGCATGAGACTTAAAAGTCCTCAGTCCTGAGTTCGAGTGCCAGCTGTGGGACTTACTGATCCTGTGACTGTGGCTAGGTCACTTGAACCTCTTTGGGCCTCAATTTCCTCACTTGTAAAACAAAGCTAATTATGCTTGCAGTACTCATCTCAATTTGGAAATTGTGTAATCCACAACCCACCCCTTCAGCCTTCACTTCTTCCCTTGAGAGGAAAAGAACACTGACCTGGGGTCAGAGGACTTGAGTTCACATCTTAGTTCTTCAACTCTGGAGGTAGAAGTCACTTGACCTTGGACAAGTCATTTATTTCCCTTCCTCTGGGCCTCAGGTTCCTCACTTGTGAAATGGGAGGATTAGGCTAATTTCTAGCGGCCCCTCTGACTTTGATGTCCTTGGTGCTATAGTCCTTCTGTCCACTGGTCTCTAACATTCCCCCTGAGAGATCTGTGTTCCAAATCCTTGAATACCTCCATTGTACTTTGACCCCTCTCTAAGTTCTCAGCACCTCGGCTAAACACAGTGATGACCTGGTAGAGGGAAAGCCCTTATCAATTGAGAGGACTAGTCAATTAAGCCATGGTTCTCCATGTGACATGTTTGATCCATACCTAAGCTTCCTATTCCTGTGAGGTGTGATCTCCATTTTGGCTATACTGCATGGCCGTGTTGTGGTCCACCCTGACCCTTGGAGTCTTTTCTATCTAGTGTCCCACGGAGTCAGTCATCAACATGTGAGTGTCCCCTGTACTCATTCCCAGAGTCCCCTGATCTCATTTCCTTGTTTGCATAGTAATACACCAGTCAACCACAGTGACCCCAGCTAGAGACCAGACATCAGCAACAGACAGCTTCTTGGGGGCAAGCACCATTGGACCAGGTAAGGGCAAGACCAGGGCTTTGCCCTGCCCCTTCTGCTTCTGGAGCACCTCTGAGCTTGGGATTTCCAAGCACCGCGCCTATGCTCTCAGAGGCCCAGGGTAGGAGAGGGCCTGGAGCAGAGTGGCTAGTGATGTCCTCACACTTGTGTGCAGGACTCAGCTCCCCACTGAGGGATGCCTTCATCTTGGTTCTCTGTCACCATAGCAACGCATGGTGCTACTGCAGAGACGTCATCTAGGGAGCAGACAACCATGGAGGCTGGCCATGCTGGGGCGAGCAGTGACAGGCCAGGTAAGATCCTGGGGGATCTTCCCTTGGCACTTAGCCAATGATCTTCAGGCACCTTGCAGGGATATACAATGGAGCTCCCTCTCCCTCCCCCAGGAGCTTTAGGGAATTTGGGGTTGAGGTCCCTGGACTGCATGGATTCCCTCTCCACCCTCCCTCCTGGGCCCAGGATGTTGGGAACACCTCCTCCAGTCAGCAGCCCTGATATGCCTGGTCTTGACTGTACATCTCCTCCCGGGCAGCATAGCCCTTTGACTGACTTTGGGCACCAGAGGACAGTGACGTTAGAGTCTTATCTTTGGACCTTAGCTCTTCCCCTTCTCTTCAGGCTTCAGTCTCCTCATCTGTTTGACTTAATAATAGCTAACCTCTCTATAGTATTGCTTACTATGTGCCAAGCAGTGTGCTAAACACTTTACAAGTATTATTTTATTTGTTCTTCACAACAACTCTGGGAAGTAGGTGTTTTTATTATCCTCTTTTACAGATGAAGAAACTGAAGCAAACAGAGGTTAAGTGACTTGCCCAAGGTCACACAGAGAGTAAGTGTATGAGGCTGGATTAAAACTCAGGTCTTCCTGAGTCCAGGCCCAGTGCTCTATCCACTGCACCACTGAGTCTCCAAGGCCCCTTTCAGCTGGAATGCTATGGATTCATCCTGGTGCCCAGGACCCCCAGGACAAAGGAGGAGAGGGGTTCAGCATGGAGTGGGGAGGGGTGTAGCCCAGGTCAGGATCAGTGGGTCCCATTTCTTATTGGGCCAGAAATTCTTTCCTCCAGTGTTGCATATAACCCTTTTTATAGACGTGAATTTGGACTCTTCCAGGCTGGGCTTCTGGGTCTTAGAGGCTGTACTGGAGGTGTATGTACACTGCTGCTCATAACCTCCTCAGCCATTGGATTTTAGCTCTCAAGCCCCCACCCCTTAACTGACAATTTCCAATGCTGATTAGGCAGCAGGGTTGTTTGTCATAAGGCCCTGATCAGCAGCATCTTATCTCTCCACTGATGGCCTTGTGCCACATCCAAGGTCCCCCAGTTTGGCTCAAAGGGGCAGCATGATATTCACTAGGTAGAGAAACACTAGGCCAGGTGAGGACATTGGCTGTAGATGTAGCTTTTGAAGGACAAGAACACTTACATGGCCCCTGATTGCTAGCCAGACTTGAGAACCACAGAATGTCAGAGCTGGATGAGACCTTAGAAGCCAGTGATAGCACAGAAGAGATCATGGTTGTCAAGTGCTTTAGGCAAGCCTTAAAATGCAACCCAAAGTTTTAGTATTATCTAGTCCAACCATTACATATTACAGAGGTCCAGAGAAGGAAGAGAATTGTCCAAGGCCACACAGTGCCTAAGTGGCATAGGCAGGATTTGAATCTGGGTCCCCTGACTCTGCCTGTTGGCCTACACTGACTTGCAAAGACCACAGACCATCCTGACATTCCTCTTCCTTTGCAGGCTCACCTATAGATGCTGAATCGAGGGACCAGGGAAATGCTAACAAAAGAGCAGGTAGGAGTGGATGGAGGGTGGCTAGAGGAAGGAGTTGTCTTGGAAAGGAGGTGGCCAGCCAGCCCACGCACCTGCATGGCCCTGGGCCTGGCTGCATCAACAAGCACCCACTATATGCCAGATGCATTGATGCCCAGTGACCTTTCCAAAGCTCGAGGTTTAGCATGGCTCAGGGCGGGGGTGGGGAGGGGCTCCTGGGGGCCACCTCAGTGACAGACATTGAGCCCACTATGTCAGGACTGATCCTAAGGGCCCCGGGAAGATTCCTTGTTACTCTGTCCATGGTGACTGTGTGGGGATGGGCTACGCTGTGTGGCTCATGTGCTGAGACCTGTACTTGGCCTTCTTGAGAATGTGTTTGGTGACGGCCAAGTGACTGGGCCACTGGCTCAGAGCACAGGGTGCCAAGTCTAAAATGAATGAGCTGTTCTGCCACTCCCCTCCTCTCCCCTCCTCTCCCCTCCTCTCCCCTCTCCCCTCCTCTCCTCTCTTCCTTCCTCTCCTCCTCTCCCCTCTCCTCCCTTCTCTTCTCCCCTTCCCTCCCTTCCCCTTCACTAGATCTCTCTCTTCAGGTACTAGAAAGAAGACTAAGTATGTTCAGTAATCCCTAATTAAGCTATGAGACTGTGCTCTTGTCTTGAACCTGGTGCTGGGGCCAAGATAAGAAAGGGACAGGTGGGAAAACTGGAAAGTCCAGGAGCTGGCCTTGGGAGAGGGGAGCAGGGTAATGGATATATAGCTTCAGGTGACCATTGGCCCCCACCCCACCCCAAAGCCCTCTGGGAATGTCTCCTCTATTAGGTGGACAAGGCCTGCCCCTCTATGCCATCGTCCTTATCGCCTTACTCTGCATCATACTGGTCTTTGCCATGATCTTTGGGCTCTGCCGGAGGAAATCACAAGGTGGTGAGTGTGGCAGGGCTTGGTGTTTACGCGCGTGTGTGTGTGTGTGTGTGTGTGTGTGTGTGTGTGTGTGTTTCCTCAGACAGTTATTCAGTCTTGCGATCTCAGAGGAGGAAACTGAGGCTCAGAGAGGGGAATGATGCACCCAGGGCTCTTTCTGCATTGCATCAGGGTGCTCACAGTAAGCATAGGAGATGAGAGCTCCCCATGGGAATCATTTAATTGGCACTACCAATGAAAGTCTCTACTTGCTGCTGCATGGGGGAACAAGAGAGGTTGCCCAAAGCCATACAGGGAGTAAGTGACAGAAAGAGAGTTTGAACCCAGACTCTCTGACTCCGAAGCCAATGTTCTTTCCACGGGATCACCATCAGTAAAGAGGAAAAAAATGCTCCAAACTTTGCTCATCCCACTCCCCTTCCTGCACCTTGTGCTCTAGTCAGACTGGCCTCCACCCACAAATGGTCACCATTGCTCTGTCCTCCTGAAGTGTCCTTTCCCCTTCTCTCTCTATCCATGTCTTCTCCATACATGAGTCTGTCCCCAATCCCTGCCCCTTCACTCCCTTTTCCCTGACCACCCCCGGTATTCTTTCCTCTGACTTTCCTAAAGCAAACTGCTTTTCATCATGTCGTTCTCCTACTCAACCACCACCAGCGACATCCCAAAGAAAACATCAGCGATTCCCAAATTTGTTCTTTCTCATGGCACAATATTCTTTGACATGAGGAGCTAAGGCACACTGAATGTTTAAGTTGACAGTGCTGGGGGAGAATCAGGAGCCTCTCACATACACAGTTTCCCTTCAATAAGAAAGAGCAGCTGTTTTGGCTGAGTTCTTTGCTAGTTCAAAGTCTGACATGTTCCGACGTTCGTGCGTACGTGTAGGGTGTATGAGTAATAGGTGAGTTATATTTATTTTGCAAATACTGTACTTACAATTCTGTGTGTGCTGGGAGAGCAAAATTTATATTAACCACTTTATTTATACATTTTCTTTTATCTGCAACAATATAACATTTAAATCTTTGTGGCCCGCCTGGTGATACTTGGGGCTCACTTGCATGTGCCCTTTGAGAGCCCAGGACAAAGGCCAGACTCAGACTCCACTCACTCCGGACCCTTTCCTGCCTTTTCCATTTCTCTCTCTTCCTACATCCCTTCTTAGGACCTCTGCTAAGGCTCGACTCTCACTGTCTTCAAGTACTGCTGGTATCACTATTGTTAAAGTCCTATGTGGTTAGTTATATTTTCTAGTGTGTGAGTCTCACTTTCCCAACTGGACTAGGTGCTCCCTGAGGGCAGGGACTGCTTCTTAACATCTTTCTGTCGAGAGTCAATGCCCCAGGGAAATGTCTCTTTCCTGATCCCTCTCACCTCCCCCTTGGATTTTCTCCTCTCCAAAGCCAGAAATTTTGCTTCATTCCTAAATTTGACTCCTGTCTCCTAGAGTTAAAATGAATTTATTGACCCCTAATGGACACTGAATATCTGCTCCCTCAGTGAAAATGTGTTCCACTTGGCCCCAGAGGGTGGCACTAGAAGCAATGAGGCATATAAAGACTTGACAGGAGTCAAGTCAAGTCAAAAAGCACTTAGTGAGTGCTTACTATGTGCCAGGCACCATACTAAGTGTGTCAGGATAAACTTCATAACAACTGTGGAATGGGCTGCCTTGGGAAGAAATGAGTTCCCCATCACTAGAGGTATTCAAGTGGAGACTACCTGAGGGGGATGCTGTGAAGGGGATTCCTGCTCAGATAAGGCCCTAGATGGCCTCCGAGGTCCCTTCCAACTAAGAAATTATGTGATTTTGTCATAGAATTTTAGACCCAGACAACTTGATCCAATCATCTCATTTTATGGGGGTCAGGTGACTTGCTCAAGATCACACAGTCTACTGTGTACTTGGCCCAGAAAATACCAGAAGGCAGGAATGGAGTGAGGGGCACCATCTCTGGGCCCTCCCTGTAGATCGATGCCATTGGACCATGGCTTAGGCTTCCCTGAATGCCTCTTCTTTCATTGGCTATGGCTCTTCCGTCCCCCATCAAGGTTCCCTGGCAGCTTTTGCTCAGTCTCTCTGGTTCCTGGTTTATTGGGAACCACCCAGAGGCTGTTCACTCTGGGTCCCTCCTCAAGGACACCTGGGGCCAGGGAAGGTCTGCCCTCCTGGAAAGATTGAGGGTGGGAGGGTGGGGCAGAGCTCCCCATCCAGAGACTAGAGCTGGAATAAGCAGAGTCAGTCTGTCCAAACCAAGGCCTACTACAAGAGCAGCAATGATCACAGTACTGAAAAGCAGCAGTGCCTTGCACTCCACTGCCCTTTCCAAAGCACCTGTCATGAAACTGAGCCACACGACAACCCTGGGAGGCAAGCAGTGGAACTGTTTTACAGAAGAGGCTTAGAGGAAAGTGACTTGTTCAAGGTCACTCTGCTGTGACAAAACCTGATAGAATGGAAAGAGTACTGGGTTTGGAGGGAGGCATTATGCTGCTTAACAGCTGGGCGGCCCTTTTCCTTCTCATCTGTAAAATGGGAATAGCCATGCTTTGGCAGGGCTAGATGGCCGGGGAATGCGTGGGCTCAATTTGTCCCCCTCTAGCTTATCTTACCACGTGTCCCCTAAGCCCCTCCCCACTCAGGAGGCTCTCTTTAGACGTGGAGGGGAGATACCCTGCCCCCAGACCCCAGCACTTGTCTCGTGGGTCTTGGCCATACCCGATTGGCTGGTAGAGATGTCCAGACCTGTCCCTGGGTGCTATTGCTACCCAGGTGCTTCTATCTTGACCCTGTGTCTTCTTTTGCAGAGCACGCCTATGAAGTGGCCAGGTAAGATTCTTCCCCTCCTTCCCCTCCTTCCCTCCCCCACCCCATCAGCCTCCTCAGCACTGGCTGGAAGACATTAGGACAGACCAGACCTAGGTTTCATTCAAAGGGTCACAGGCTTCAGCACTGGAAGGGGCTCCAGAGACCCTCTGTGGTTCAGAAGTGATTCCACAGCCTAGAAGTGATCGAGCTGGGAACTGAGCCCAAGTCTCCCAACTGCCCTTCTGGGGCTGAGGAAACAGCTCCAGTTTTATCAGCTTCATTCACTCGTTTAGTCATTAATATTTCTTAAGTACCTACTATGCGCCTGGCACGATGCTGGGCACTTGGGATACAAAGACAAAAATGCAGTAGGCCCTTCCATCGAGATGCTTCTATGCTATTGAGGGAGCGAAACGAGTTTGTGCAAAATAGATAATCATTCCCAAGGTGAAGAGGGCACTACTACTGGTGGGCAACCAGGCCACACCCCCTGGTGGGAGGTGGGATTTAAGCTGGACCTTGAAAGAGGAGAGGAATTCTATGAGGAAGAAATGAGGAGGTTGGCATTGCAGAGGGGGTCACAACCTTACAAAGCATGGAGATGGGAAACGACAACATAGATGAGCCGGTTTACCTGGTCAAGAGAGTGGATGAAGAAGGGGAATGTGTAAGCTTAGAATAGTAGCCTGGAGCCAGATTGTGAAGCAGCTTTAAAGGCCTTTATCCTAGAGGTAAAAAGGAGCTACTGATGTTTGTTGAGCAGGAGAGTGACCTGGTTGGATCTTTGCTTTAAGAATAGTAAATTTGGTGACTATGGGAGAGAGGGATGGAGAGGATGGGGAGTGGGGAGAGACTAGAGGTAAGGAAATCAGTTAGGAGACTACAGCAAGGAGAGGTGGCATGACCTGGGCCCTTCTAGCTCCAGATCTAGGATGTTGTATGACCTTGGACAAGTCCCTTCCCCTCTCTGGGCCTCAGTTTCTCCCTCTGTAAAATGAGGGGGTTGGACTAGGTGGCCTGTGAGAGCCCTGCCAGCTCCAGACTTAGGCTCCTATGACCTTGTGTACAACATTATGAGTAGATTTTCTCCATTTTATAGATAGGAAAGAAGAGGAGAGGCCTCAAGACAAGGGGATCCTGGGTCCTGTTCTCATCCCTCCCCAGTTCTCCCTGAACCCCTTCTTCCACTCTGTTCCTTTCTCCACCTTTGGGTGTTGTTGGCTGCAGGATGAGTACAGGAGGTGGCCCCAGGATTGCCATCTACTCTGGGGGCACAGCAGAGGCAGAAGCTGAGACCAGGGCACTTGACAATGAGTACCACAATGACCCTGCCAGCACCCAGGATTACCAGATCATCACCCAGGCCAACAGTGACTACGCCCGGCTGCTGTGTGGGAGTAGCTCGGCCGAATTAGAGATGCAAGAGAATGGAAAACCGAGCTGCTGAGGACAAAGGGGCTGAGTGAGGAGCCAGAGGGCCATGCCACTGGTCTGGCATGGCCTGCCTTCCTTTCCTCTCTCTCAGAGATAGGAAGGGTCCTCCCCAACCCACTCTGTCCATACCCCTGTTACATCCCATCCCATCTGCTCCCATCCCATACCATCCTATCCCTTCCTGTCCCCTCCCATACAGTCCCCTCCCATCTCCTGACACAGACCCCTTGGTTCCTGGCCAATGGGACATGGTGTTTCTGAGAAAATTGACTTTATCTTGGAAAGTTGCATATATATATATATATATATATATATAGGGACTTTCTATATTTCTTTGGGCCTAGAAGAGTGTTGAATTCAGGTGACTAGGACACTGGGTGGAGATGAGCTCTGTGTCCACTGCCCAGAACATTGTTGGTGCTCAATAAAGGTTTGCTAATAAGAGAGTGATGGAAGTCCACTAAGTCAATCCCCCTGACCTCTCACAGTGTGATATACTGTTTCCCTGCTTCCCATATGTCATCTCAGTAATTGGCTACTTTCTCCATGCCTGCCCACCCTGGACAACTCAGGGCCATGTTTTTCCATGAATCCTTCAAAGAAGATCCACCTTCACCTGGCTCTTTGGCCTGGACATTCATAAGGCATTTCTTGTCATCCCTCACTCTTATATCATGGCTGCCCCACCTCCCTTCCCATAGTCCCACATTTCTTGGATGCTGTCGTACATGTGACTTTTTGCTTCTAAGGCATCATTGGCGATATATTGCTACCTACCCTATGTGCTAGGCATTAAAGGACTATAGGAATTGAAAGCTTGACAGGACTACTCTCAGTTTGCAAGTGAGGAAACTGAGGCCCAAGGAGAAGGGACTTGCTAAAGACACACACATAAGATCCTGCCTCAAGATCCCTGTAGAATGGCCTTCAGAAGCCATCTAGTCCAACCCCTTCATTTTGCAGAGAGGGAAATTGAGGTACAGAGATGCAAAAACAGTTACTGAAGGTCACACAGCTAGTAAGTCATAAGGTTTGGATTCAAACCCAGATCTCTCAAACCCCATCCCAGTGCTCATTCCATTGCACCATGTGTCTTTCCGTCATCTGCTAGATCACTTGTAATTTTGATTTAAATGATAGTGCCCATTTGTATAGTGCTGGAAAGTTTGCAGAGCTCTTTACAAATGTGATCTCATTTGCTCTTCACAACAATCGTGAGGGGTGAGTGCTATTATTATCCCCATTTTACAGAGGAGGAAACTGAGGCACAGAAAAGGTAAGTGACTTCACCACATAGCTAGCAAGCATTTGAGATTGGATTTGAACTCAGGGCCTCCTGACTCCAAGTCCCACGACCTCTCCACTGTCAGCTCTGCAAGGCTCCCAAATGGGGCCGTCCTGGTATCTTCCTCCCAGGCCTTTATCCTGCTGCCAGGTTTGTCTTAGCAATAATCCCCAGAGTGGCTCATTTTTATAGAGTGTGCTATAAAACACTTTCCTCAGAACAGTTCTTTGAGGGAAGGAATGACTCGTTAGTATCCCCATTTTCCAGATGAGGAGGCAGATGTGCTACCTTGCTTTAAGGTAGCGCAGTGGGTAAATGGAAGGTCTGGGATTTCAACCCCATGCTGAGGATGGTAGATTCAGTGCTTTTGTTTATCCAGATCCTGACAGCTTACTACCTATGTGGTCTTGATCAGGTCACTTGGCCTCTGAGGTCCCTTCCAGTTCTGAATCCAGGAGCCTAGTGTGACCTTGCACAAGTCCCTTTCCCTCCCTGGGCCTCAGTTTCGTCATCTAGAAAATAAGGGGGTGGGACTAACTGGCCTGTGGGCTCTATGATCCAGTGATCTCATCCCTTTCCCTTTCTCTTCTCACCCTGACAGGTAGGTAATTTATCATATTTCCTGATTACTAAATTTCTCCATAAACAAGGTAGAAAGCTGAGGCAGTAGTTTCTGCAAAGACTTAAGAATCCCTAAGAGGAAGGGCAAGAAGGGAAAGGACAGGAGAGGTCCCCTTCTACCATCAGTTGCTTTGAACCCTGACCAGTGACCCTCCCTCCTATCATTTGGTGAGAGGGAGGAGAGATGAGATGAACAGGGGAAGCGAATCAGGGATCAGAAGAGGTCAAAAGGCCATGCCCATGCCAAACCGGCACCAGACTGCACTGGGCAAGTTCCCAGTGATGAAGCTGTTGCCTCAGTTTCCTCTTCTGTAAAAGAAACAGGGAAGGGTAGACCCCTGATTCCTAAGAGCCCTCCCATCTTGAAGGTCCTGTGATCTTGTGATTATTACCAAAGAGCCCAAAATCACAGGCAAGATCAGGGCCCACATCAGGGGCAGCTGCTTCATTGCCTTCCCTTACCCTCCACCTTTCAATTGTGGTAGCATCCAGAGATCGTACTGGGCTGACCTGTAGGCTCTGTGTGGCTAGACATGGGGGAGGGAGGGTACAGGGTGAAAGGCCAAGACAGAATTGACCAAAGGGAAAGAAGAAGTGAGAGGAGAAGGGAGGAGCAGGAGAGAAGAGGGATGAAGGAGGGGTTCAAGTAGAAGGCATCTCTCCGTCTGACCCCCCAATTCCCCATTAACTTTTTTGGGATGAGTTTCTCATTCACTCTATGAGGTCTCTGGGCCTCAGACCTCTAACCTCTTTTGAATGGTGACCAGAGGGACTTATCTCTCCTCAGCCACCAAGCAGGCTTTGACAAACAATATTCCACAGCAGGCCATAGCCTTACCATCACACAGTTGATGGAAATATGTAAAGAACAGAAGCTCCCACCGGGCTTACATTTGTGTCAAAGTGACTGATTTGGTAAAGCAAAACCTTGTCTTAAAGGTACTCTTCCAACAAGGCATTGCCCAGGCACTAGTCAAAATTAGCCAAAGTTGCTTAAGAGATGGAAACACTGAGATAACCTTGTTTAATGACCCTCTGATCTTTAATATCAAGCAAAGTATAAAATGGGGAGACAGACTCAGCAAGGGTATTTGCCAGGGTCCCAGAGGAAATCCAGCATGGAGTCCAAGAAGAAGGGCTTCCCTGGGGATGGTGACGTCCTTGAGATGCTCCTGTTGGTAGATGGCACTGTGCCTGTTGCATCAAGTTAAAGAATGCTACCCGTTCTTTTGCACAAGATGCAGAAGCCCTCAAGGATATGACCTAACTACAGTTGCCCCTTCCACATCGTGACTTTCCCCATCATGGTTTTAACATATCATGGGTTGGCATAAGAAATCAAATAGGAATTTTGGGGGAGTTTTGCAGAAGCAGCAGACAACACTGAAAAAGTTTAGAAACTCAGAAATGCATAAAATATATGTAGAGTATTAGATAATATCAACATATTTTATCTTTCAATACCATGATAATTCAGACTTCTCTGCTATGAAGGAAGGACCAAAACATTTTACATGGGTTTTCCAGATTGTGGGGTGGTGCCAGGCTCCTTCCCCCAGTGATGTGGAAGGGATGACTGTATATACACAGGAAAAGCCAGGTAGATAAAGCATAGCTATTATCGAGATGATGGCCTGCCTTCAAACGGACAGCTTTCGATACTCAGTAGTAAGTAGATTTTTACATCGAGGACAGTCGCTGCAATCGGACCACAGGTTAGGTCCTTTTAAGTAGAAGAAGGAAACTGGAGTGACTTGCCTTTGGGAAATTAGAAAGTTCCTTTAATGATGCCGGACTTCTCCTGAAAACTCAAGGCTCATCTTTTTTAATACAAATATTCGACCGATGTTGATTTATGGATGTGAGTTTGGGAGCACAATGCCCAGTCTCAGAAGAACACAGAGCATCAGAATTTAAACAGAGTATCGGAACACAAAGAGATCTTAGAATATAGAATAGCGCAGCTGAAAGGGATTTTATGATACACAACATCAGAGCATGGGAAGAGGAGTGGCGCTTAGACCATAGAATGATGGACTAAGAATGGGTCTTAAAACAGAAAGTCAGCATGAGTGGTGCCTTAGTACACAGCATATCAGATGTAGAAAAGACTTTGGGACGTAGAATGACATAATTAGATGGGACCTTAGAACATAGAATGTCAAAACTGGGAGGGCCATTTTTTGTTGAGTCATTTCAGCCGTGTCTGACTCTTCACAACCCTGTTTGGGGTTGTCTTGTCAGAGATATTGGAGTGGTTTGCCATTTCCTTATCCAACTCATTTTACAATTTACACTGAGGCAAACAGGGTTAAGTGACTTGCCCAGGGTCACCCAGCTAGCAAGTGTCTGAGGCCACATTTGAACTCAGGTCTTCCTGACTTCAGGCCCAGTGCTCTATCCATTGCAGTGCCACCTAGCTGCCCCAGAGAAGATAAAATTTACAATGGAAGAGCTGGAGGGGACCTTGGAGGTCAAGTCTAACCTATACTTTTCAGAGGAAGAAACTAAAGCCCAGATGGGTGAAACGACTTGTGTAAGGGTTTATATAGTAACTAAGTATCAGGGCTGAAAATCAAACCCAGGTTTTTTCCTTCTTAGCTCAGCATTCATTCTTCCTTCCTTCTTTCTTTTTTTCTTTCTCTCTTTCTTTCTGTCTCTCTATCTCTCTATTTCTCTCTCTCTCTCTCTCTCTCTCTCTCTCTCTCTCTCCCTCTTTTTCTTTCTTTCTTTCTAATTTAGGTTTGTTTTCACTTGAGGTTAATGCTAATTCCATGCCGTGTTTCAGTAAGAATGACACAGATTCTGTATCTATGGCTCTGGGCAGATTTCCAGGGGTACAAATTAGCTTCACGTTACACATAATGAATGAAAGAAGTTGAGTGAGTGAAGGAAGGCAGGGAGGAAAGGAGGAGAAGGGCAGGGGGCAGGGAAGGAGAACAATAAAGAAAGAAACACAAATTCAGGCTTTTCAATCCCCCTTCAGTGCGAACCTGCTTTGAGGGAGAGAAAAAGTGGGCCAGAGGGAGAAGCCTGGGTTGCTGAGCAGCCGTCACCAGCGCTGGCCCTTTGAGCCACATTTCAGCCCCAATTGGAAACACTTTTTTGTGGCAAAACCACTACAATAAGTGTTCTGACGCATCATGAACCATCAAGCTAACACCCCATTAGTTTTAAACCTGAGTCTAAAATTTGGTTTCAGCCATTAGAAAAGGAGAAAGGTGCCCTCGTGTGCGCTGACCCTGCCTCTGAGACCCTCGCTCCCCCTAGCAGACTAATGGCTCCTAGATGGAGCCTCCATTTCCTCTGGTTATCTTGGCACATCTGGCACAGAGACCATCCAGCCCGATGCTTCCCAAAGCCTCGACGCAGCCCTGTAGGTCACCAGTGTTCTTTCCATTATAAAACCTCGGAACCCACAGTCAGCCCCACAAGTTGTTAGGAGCAGGGTGGGGAGGAGGAAAGAGAAGCAAGCACCTCTGTCTCCAAGCCATCTGGTTCCTATTTTCCCCTGAACAGCAGGCCCAAAGCCAGCTCTGA